TATATATATATATATATATATATATATATATATATATATATATATAAAAAGAGAGAAAATTTGCAATTTTGTCTAATTCCTGTTTGCCAACCTCATGATAAATGTGTTGGGGTATGTTGAAATATTAACATATTGGTATGTTTTCTGTATCAGACACTATACAGACCTTTCAACATTGAATTAAAATAAATATTCCAGACATTTACCAGTCTCCTGTATGTTAGAGAAAAAGTAGCCCAAAATTTTTACATACAATAATGGAAAAGGTGCAATGAAAGGAAATCTTTTTTTCTTTGATGGAATGATGAAGAAATCTGGATAATCTTTCTATATATAAATAGAAAGATTATCCATCATTCCTGATATATATCAGGACTAACCCTTATGAGGTACGTTAGCAATAATAAACAGTATATTTAGATTTTTAAAAATGGATGAAAAATTAGATGCAATTAAATTGTAATTATTGTAATTAAAAAATGTATTAAACAATTGTAATTTAAACAAGAAATCTTCACTTAAAATTTCCATAGAAATTTGTTAGATTCAATTTTTGGCTTTTTCCTATATCTATTATAAATGTCATTTTTTATTAACAAGAGTTTATCTTTAAACTTGAGAAAAGGAACAAAAACTATTTTATTTATCCTTATAAATCTAATTGATCAGTAAATACAGGTTTACTATCCTGTGCTTAAGAGATAAAGCTTACCAGTAGTAAAGAAAAAAAAAAAAAAGCAGACATGTTATCTCAAATAGCAAACCCAGTCTAAAATGTAATTTTAATTAACAAGATTTACTGTTATATTACACACTGCTCAAAAAATTAAAAAATGAAATAACTTAAATCAAATCAAACTTTCACATGATGATGTGCAAATGGAACAGACAAGAGGTTGGAATTATTAGCAAATAACACAAGCTAATAAAGGACTGGTTCTGCAGGTGGGGATCTATGAGTACCTTTGCTTTCTGGTTGATGTTTTGCTCACGTTTGAATGTTGTTGGTGCTTTCCCACTCATAGTAGCATGAGACGGACTTTACTTACCCAAGTGGCTCAGGTCGTGCAGCTTATCCAGGGTGCTACATCAATGCGAGCCGTGCCAGGAAGGTTTGCTGTGTCTTTCGGCATCCAGAGGCTGGAGGCGCTACCAGGAGACATGGCGGAGGCCATTGGAGGGCAGCAACTCAGCAGCAGGACTGCTACCTCTGCTTTTGTGCAAGGTGGAACAGGAGGAGCACTGCCAGAGCCCTGCAAAATGACCTCCAATGTGCAAGTGTCTGCACATGGTGTGAAGGCCTGATGTCCACAGATGGGGTTGTGCTCACAGCAGGACGTTTGGCATTTTCCAGAGAACACCAGGTTTGGAAAATTCACCATTGGAGCCCTGTGCTCTTCACAGTTGAACGCAGGTTCACAGTGAGCACATTTGACAGACGTGACAGTCTGGTGACTATGTAAACCCGACAGGTTTGGCAGTGGGTCAGTAATGATGTGGGGTGACATTTCTTTGAAGGGCAGCACAGCCCTCCATGTGCTCGCCAGAGGTGGCATGACTGCCATTAGGTACCGAGATGAGATTCTCAGACCCCTTGTGGGACGATATGCTGGTGAGGTTTGCGCTGGGTTCCTCAATCTGAATCTGAGCACATCTGGGACATCATGTCTTGATCCATTCACCAACATCACATTGCACCACAGTCCAGGTCTGGGAGGAGATCCCTCAGGAAACTATCCCCCACCTCACCAGGACAATGCCCCGGCATTGGAGGCCACACAGTACTGGGCCCCATTTTTACCTGTTTTGAGGACATTAAATCAAAGCCTGTGGCGTGTTTTTCCGCTATAATTTTGTGACTCCAATTCCAGGCCTCCATTGGTTAATACATTTGATTCCCATTTATTTTATTTTATTTTGTCGGCACGTTCAACTTTGTAGAGCTCAAAGTATTCAATGAAAATATTTCATTCATTCAGATCTAGGATGTGTTACGGATGTTCCCTTTGTTTTCAAGAAGTGTAATTTGAATTAAAAAATAGATTTATAAAGAGTTGATGGAGAAATGCTCCTGTTTTTTTTCCTTGCTTATTGCGTCTGCATTTTGTACATAGTTGCATCATCCAGAAGGTGAAGCTCAGTTAAACAAGAATAAGATTGCTTGGTCCTGAATAGTAAAATCAGTTTAAGTAATAACTGGATGAAAACTATTCATTTCACAGACACATTTTGTGTGTGAAATGACGGTTCTATGGAGAAGTTTGAAATAAGTTAAAACTATTTCGATTTACAGAGATTTCATAAGAAAATGCCTCCTTTTCTTTATTCAATGTTATTTACCTGGTACACAGAGATAATCCTCTAAAAGCCAAAAAGACACAGAAATAAAATCGTTGATGAATGTGCAGAAACAGGTTTCAAAAAAACAACTTTTATTGACTTTACAACTTTAACACAAAACCTTTACTTTTGCATACTTTTCAACTTCAGTCCCAAAACCCTACTTTCTTGGTTTTCTTTTTTGATAACGCTAAGTGAGGGACTTCAAAATCATTTTACAAACAAAAGCATCAATAAAGGGATTTTCTTTTCTTTTTTTATTATTAAGAAAAATAAAACTCAGAGATCTGCGTTCTTGCAAAAGAAATCCAAGGTGTAGAGAAAAAGAAGTGTAAAAGACTGTGGACGGTTCGGCCTTTCAGCAGTGACACTGTAGAGGATCAGATGCGACCTTTTGGTCATAGGTGGTAAATATGCAACTATCACTGTCAGCTAGCTTAGTAGAGGCGCCAAACAAACAGGGAAACAGTTACCTGGTTCTGCCTTCTGCTAGCCAATCAGAACAGAGACTGAGCTCAGATAAAAAGCACAAAATGTGTTTGTATTTCTTTTTTTTTTTTTTTACTTAAAAGTATTCATTAGAGCCTGTTATGGCTGCTGGGCCAGGACAGGTGTCTGTTTGTTTACAGCTAAATTCATGGCTTTTCTTAGTAACAATGAATATTAGATTTAAGTCTGAACATTAGAAGTAAATTATTCATCATTAATTTGCTTTACTTATGGACAGTGGATTGGAAATTATCTTTAAGGATGTGGTCACCCTAACCCTTAGTCTTCATATTTCAATACTTTAGGCTGTAATGTGAAGAAGTGAAGAAATTTTCATTTTTATCTTTTTTTTAAATTGTAGTTGGGGGGGAAACAATGTTGTTTTTAAAGTCACAATGTGGCTGAATCATAAAGCCAACTGATACTTAATTAGGTTGGATGTCTTTTATGCATTATTATAAACGGAACAAATAAATACCTTTAGAAATGTCTCCCAATTCAAATGGAGGTTTATAAACTAATGACTAAATATTTGATGGAAAAATAAATTGCCTATATTTTAAGTCCTGTTAACCAAACAGAGGTTTCAACCTTTTTTAATTCATCATACAATAAATTTTACTAAAATCATCTAAAATGAGATGAACTGAGATCATAACAGCTGAATGGTCTGAATCTTTTTCTAACTCAGCCAAAACGTTTTGATTGTTAACATTTTGAACATTCAGGTTCTTACAGTCAACCAGAAGTGGGTGAGCTGTACCGTTACATCTTTTGTCATTTTCAGAAAGGGAACACATTGGGAAGATACGGCCCAGAGTTCAAGCTTTAAGTCACAGTAACTGTTTTTTTTTGTTTGGTTTTTTTTTTTGTAAAAACTGAAGATTCACTGGGATAATATGAAGTGGGTGGGATATTTCCGTTTGTGTTGGTTCTAGAAATCCGATCAGTTGTAGGTCTGTTTCAGGAGCCTCCCTCTGTAGAATCCAGTCCAAAAACCAGTGCCAAGAGGCTTCACATTAACATCGTCAAAAGTTAGTCAAAAACAGGAAAATCCTCCGCATGCTTTTCAGACCGGGGAGGGGGGGTTATGACCCGTGGCGTAAAATCCATCCCTGGGTCGGGGCGGAGAACTCTGCAGGGCAACAGCCTCTTAAACTAAAAGTTCTGTCATTAATGTGATTTGCATCAGTCACTGTGTGCTGCTCATCATGTTGAGAAGCTTAATACTCAGGGAGTCTGTTTTTTCTGAATCCCTCAAATTCCCCAGCCGATGGAGAATGGCAAAGAGCAGCAGAGCAGAGACGAGCTCTGACGTTCCTTCATCACTCCAGTGAGCGGAGTCTGACCGTATTCCAGAGGAGGGATGGATGGGCGGAGATAGAAAACTTGACATCATAGAGAACATAAGAAATAAAAAGCTAAAAGTAAAAGTACTCTCAGACATGCACACAAACAGGCAACAGGCAATCGAGACATGTTTGATAGGATTTTTTTTCTTTTTTAATCTACACTAAATGTATGTTAGAGTTTGAGCCACAGACCAAAAATTCAACTTCCTTTCATCCATCGCATCTCAATGAGGGATTCTAGATTAACTCATCTAGCTCCTTCAGGAAGAAAAGTAGGATTAATCTAGCAGTCCCAGACCGAATGCAACACTCTGTGGTCTGCCTGTGGATGGGAGACAATCAGAGCATGTGGTAATAAGCAAGAGAAGGAAGTGAAGAGGAGTTGTTTGTTTCTGAGGATCATCACAGACTGATTGGTCTCTCAGCTGCAGTCGTCTGAGGCCCTGAGGTTAGACAAGCAGACTGAGGCGTAGGAGACGAGGCTGTACCCAACAGGTCAGAAAGCTTGCACAACTATTCAGACCCCCTTTAATTTTTGGCTTTTACACAAGACATTTTATTCACTTTAAATTAGAGACCAACACAGAACTAAATTAGAAAGCGAAACCAAATGTAAAAAAAAAAAGAAAACTCTCTGGCATCAGTTGCCTTCAAACACGACCTGATCAGTAGGGAAGGTCCAAAAACTGCAATTTTATCTCAGCATATATTAGCTAGTGCTCTTTGAAAACTCCATGTTTTTTAAGGTGGAGAACAAACAGCATCCTAAAGACCAGGGAACACATCTCCAAAGCTAAACATGATGGGGGCAGCATCATGCTGTGGGAATGCCCTTCTTTTATTTTGATGTTTGGGCATACAGACACCTTATGCACCAGGCTTCTTGATTTTAGTCTTTTGTCAATCGAAAGAAAAAGCCAAATTCACCATGAAGAAGAACCGCAAACTATCAAGCCTGTCTTTATCACAGTGAGTTATTTTAGAATAACTCACTGTGACTAAGATGGCATTCATCAGGGTTACTGTCTATTCTTGTACCAACTACTGTCCTGTGTTTCCTTTAAAATACTGATTAAACAAACAAACCTCCCCGATGGCTGAGCCCAGCGCCCTTAAAGGGAAAAACCATCTCAACCTCAAAAAGATAAAATAAAAAAAGAGTTGCGTTTATAACTTCAAATTGAATATAGATCACGTTAGATACTATTTGCTGCAATTTCCTTTGTATTTTCTATTTTAGAAAATAAATTATAATGTGTTGTTCTCTACATGGGAAAGGTTTAGATCAAAGCATATGTGTTGGAATGGCCTACAAAAATACATAAATCCACTTGATAGCTACAGTGGAGTAATTCTGGATGGCTTTGTGTTTGTCAATCCCTTTAAATCCAAATAAACTACAGCGATGCGTTTGCCAGAGGTGTCCTAAAGTGGAGCGAGCTGCCCAGTTCACTGATTAAGTGATGAACCAAAGTACCAACTGTTTCCTCTGAGACACAGCGGGGAAAATAAAAAAATACAAGTGGAGGAGGAAAGGGTCTCAACTGAGAAAACGGAATAAAAACAACAGCTCCAAGAAAACTAAATATGACCAAATTAAATACAAACTACTTTCATCAAGACCTTATTTACTGACAGAAACACTCAAACTAAAAGAACAATTAGCTATTTTTAACAATAGTGGCATTGTCTGGAACATCAAGATGAAATACTGCACCAGTTTGTGTCCAAACCTGGACTGGACAGACGTGGAGAGATGGAATCTGCTCAATATTAACGCATGAAGCACAACGACCAGCGGCGACATTCAGGGAACCAAGGGAAACAACAGCGATGGAAAGTATATTTGTACATGGAATAAAGATATATTAGGAGGGAATTTACACAATCTAGGTTGGTGGTGTAAATATTCAGGAGTTGTTAGTATGACATCTGCATGCTGAAGTACAAATTAAAGCATTACTGATTATCAAAAAAGGGGCATTTTTATCAATATTCTAAAGAATCTCTTGAACTGTTTTCCTTTTTTTTTTTTTTTTTTTTTTACAAACTCCAACTTTTCCAAGCGTTCAACAGACTGTGGGTTTTTGTTAAGGCAAACGGTGAGAACACCAAACTCTGACTTTATGTGGAAAAAGTGCCAACAGGCATCTGTTGCAATGAGGTTGTTGTTTTGTTATTTTTTTGACAGCATGTGAAAAAGATGAACTAGATCAATGATTAAACATTTTGGCAGTAGACTTTTGACCCCACTGTTTGCACAAACACACACACACCCACACACGTGTACACATCCACACACTCAGGGGAAGAAAAAAAAAGGAACGAAAAGACGATGGTGGGACTAAATTGGAGGGGAAAATTTATAATCCAGATCATCAAGAGTCTTCGTTGCCAGAGTCGTCCTGGTTGTCATAGTGCCTGGTGGACGTCCCACCGTCCTCTAGAGAGCTGGTGCCCCCCGCCTCACCTACAGACTCCATCTCGCTCTCGTCTTCCTCTTCGTCCTCCTCCTCCATGTCATCGTCGTACAGGTCGTCGTAGAGAAGGTCAGAGCTGCTGTCCTGAGAGGGAACCCTGGTCTGAACGCAGTACTCCGCCAGCGTGGTCGGCACCTTGACGCCGTCCCGCTCGGCCTCTGCTGCTGTTGACAACACCTGCTTCCTGTTGGGGAAAAAATATGTCAAAGTTAAAATATACCATTAATTTAATGAGTAATGCTAACAGCTGATAAGTTTCCCAAATCACTTTCCTATGACAACAACAATAAATTTAAGCCAGATATCTTACATTATGGCAGAAAAAAACTTTACTTATTTCTGCATAAGAAGAATCCCAGCGTGAACAGACCATGTGATCAGCCCTGTTCTAGCTAGACAGGCTGTTTGCTGCCTTCTTTACACCCGTTTCAAAGAGGGAAAGACAGTTCGGGTGAAAAAAAAACAAAACAAAAAAACATAAGACCAGCAATTCCAAGAAACTTCTTAGAAAATGCCTTTTTTAGTGTCTTCTAGTAAGCAGTTCTAGCCCTAGCCATTTTCTTTGACCTTGCAGGTGTAAATCCCCCTGAGTGAATACCTTCTGTCTAACGTTAATAAATGGAGCACCCATGCAGAAAACTGTTTGTCAGAGTGGAATTTCTTCCTCAGTCCTGCAGCCAAGCACATGGATGGAAAACGTAGTGGATGCAAAAAACTTGCTGTTTTTACTGCTGCAGAGTAAAGGCTACTTAATAGTATAATGTAGGATATCTGCAAATTTTTAAAAAGACCCAGCCTCCACTTTAAAGAAAAAAATTCACATGCACAAACCTGTACCCGCTCTCGAGAGGAAACGTCCATCAAACGCATGCACGAGCCCGTTTCTCCTCGTGCACGCTCTGTTCAAAAGTTGCTGTTTGCATCGCTCATACAAGCTTTCCAAAAGATTTGCAATTGTTTCTCAATGTCAGACTCACTACCCGTAAGTAAAAATAGAGACCAGCACGTGGGACAGCCTTACGTAAACAAATCACCAGAATTATGGGAATTAGGAGGACCAATTATTTTGATGATCCACCCAGAAAAAGAACATCCTCCACTATACCTTTAAATATGTCAAAATGTTACCGTAATGGTTATTTGTTTTAAAATCCTTTACATCTGATATTTTTCCTATTGCTCCACGCTTCAAGAACTACCACAGACAGATTTATCAAGGAAAAGGACTTAGAGCAGGCATCCCCAAACTCGGTCCTCAAGGCCCCCTGTCCTGCAGGTTTTAGAGGTTTCTCTACTTCAGCACAGCTGGTTATAATGATCGCAGTAGACCAAAAGCCTGTTAATCAGCTTTCAATTGAAATCAGCTGTGCTGGAGCAAAGAAACCTCTAAAACCTGCAGGACAGGGGGCCTTGAGGACCAAGTTTGGGGATGCCTGACTTAGAGCATTCTTTATATTAAGGACGTCCAGAAACAGATGGTTTTCTAGAACTGTTGTACAGGTACTAACTAAGGGATAATAAAGGATTAGAGTATTCTTCTGAGCTCCAAAGTAATGTTTGCAGGTGAAAAGAATTTGTGGATTTGATTTGGAAAGCATTGTTCCAGAACCTGAATGAGGAGTGAAAGGAAACCAAATCCAAATCATTTGAGGTCCAGTGAGAAGTTTCTAAAGGCAATGATAATTTAGGGAACCTCCACATCAGCTCGAGCAGATGAAACAATCATTTTGGAGCATTTAGCCATTACCTTATTATCTCTGCGTACTCCTTATCTTTGCCTTTGCTGTCCCTCCATTTGCGAAACATGACCGAGGCGTCTACATTGGCTGGAGAGAAGGTGTTGGGCTCATTGAGCAGAGAGATCACGCTGAGCAGGATTGTCCTGATGATAAAGGAACAAATATACAACAAGGAAATTACAGTAAAATATCAGATTGTTGTAAAAAAAAAAAAACGAAAAAGGTTGGCATTTTTCAAAGCTTCATTCCCGCCTGGTCAGAAACCTGATGCTCCTTCTCCGTGCACCATGCAACTCCATTAAACTGTGCCTCTACTGCGCTCAAGTTTCCAAACACTAACTCAGCAGTTTACCTCAGTGATGTGAATCCTGCTGACCGGCTAAATTTAGCCGTTATTCACAGAGATGCCCTAAGGAGGCATCTCCTTTATATATTTCCTACAGAGCAAAGCTTTGGAGAAAATACTGCTGAAGCAATTCCTATCCTGATTTGCATTTTCTAAACTTGCAGCAATCTTTTCTCCTTTAATGGACCTTTTTCTCTCATGCTTGTTTATTTGTAGCCATTTGGTAATAAAAAAAAAAACAGAATAGAAATTGTGTTTTTTTTTTTTTATTCCTGATGCTTTTCCTCTTCCTCTCTCATTATATTACATAATGACAAAGTTTTCCACCTTAAAAGCTCTTTATAAGTTGTAGAAAATAAAGAGATAGAGGCATGTTGCTGAGAAAATACCTGACGTTCTGGGTGGGGTTCCACCTTTCAGACGGCAGCTCCCCGCTCTGTGGGTCGTCGACAGGAGGGTGTAGGATAGAGATGCAAACATCTCCGTTCTAAAAACAGAGAAAAAACAAAACAATAATAGTATCTTTAAAAAAAAAAAAAAAGAGAGAGAAAAAAGTTTTCTCCTAAGATTACTGATATCTATCAAAATGACAGATACAACATCACTGCTTCCTTTTAGTCAGTAAAAACTGCTATAAAACAGTGTTGAATATTGCTGAACATAAATGAGTTTAACTTTAAACTCATCTGATAGTTCTCTGAAGTTTTTTTTAAAGTGAAAGAGCATTTAGGAATTATTTTAAAAAGATTGAGTAAAACTGAAAAAGTCACACGTTGCACAGCCCTACTGAATCAAAAGCAGCCAACAGATTGTGACGGAGCTTGCCAGAACATCACACTAAAATGTTGCCTAAAGCGACAAGGCTGTAGTCACATTTATTGCTCTACATTTGCAGGTATTAATTGTACTGGGCTGCAGTTATCATCAGTAAAGACCTTCCTTTAGGTTCAGCCATTGTCTTTAGAGATAACCCACTGAATTATTTATATACAGATAGGTTTTTCTTTTTATCCCCCACTTTACTTTTTTTTTCTCCCTACCACCGCAGGGCCTTTAAAGGAATTTCAACCCAAAGCAGCGCATTACGAAAGGCCTTGCTGGAGCCCTGTTCAGACAGGAAGCCTACCTGCCTTTTTCCTCCTCACACACCATCAGATGCTTTACAGAAAAATATTACTCACTCACTCTTTTTCTTCTATGTTTTTATTTGAAACTCAACTAAAAAACTCTTTATGAGTCATAGGATTTCTGGATTTTCAAACGCACCACTGTTTATTTCCCCAAGTCCTTTATAAATGTGAATGAGGCTGTTGGATAATACAGCCATTTTTTCACCAACAGTAATGTGTGCTTAGGTGAAGGAGAAAGGAGTTGTTCTTTTCTTTCAAACGATGTGGTCATCCACTTAATGTACACTCAAGAAGCCAATCACAAAACCCCCACTTTACTAAAGGATAGCACTACATTAGTGTTCCAGCGTGGGTTTGTGATGGACCTCCATGATAAAGACATTATATGTTGCACCTCTCCGGGAAGAATATGAAGCTGGAAGATTAAGCAATAGAAGTAAAACTGTGACAACAAAGCAGCTTTTGAACCGTCACCCACATTAAACACATTCATATCCTATACAATCTTTGCTTAGATGCACTTTTTGCGAAGCAGGATAACAACATGTCACCAGTGGTGTGGTCCTCATGCACCGGGCCTGATCTCAGTTAATAGGTAAACGAGCATCTGCGTATATTAATTCAGGCTGGGAGATTTGGTGCCACTGAGATTCTAAGTGGGAGTGAAAAGAAAGAGGACAATACTTTGTAGCGGCACCTTTTGTTGCAGTTTTTGCCATTCTTTTGGAATCATTCATGGCTATTTTCTTCATTCTTACACAAAAGCCATCAAACAAGTAAAAGATTTGAACATCTTTTATCAATTACAAAAGAAAATTGATTCGACTCTCTGATTGGTGCCATTTATTTGAAACCTGTTTTATTAACAAAAACAATATTTAGGGCTGCAATTAATTATTTTGATAATCGATTAATCTGTTGATTGTTGTTTGATTAATAATCAGATAGAGAAAGGTTCCTTAAAGAAGATTTTATACCGAATTAAACCAGGTGAAACTAAAACTTTTCAACTTGTGGAGTTTTTGGTAGAGTATATTGGCAAGAGTAAAAGTTTTTTTTTTTTTTTTTATCTTAAATGCAAAATATTTCTGTTTTTTCTCACAATTTTGGTATAGTCACTGCCTTAATGGGTTGCTCTGTCAGCTAAAAGCATGTTTTAGAGTATCTATACTCCAATTAACTATTCATCGATAGTGAATTAGGAGATTATTTTAATAGATTAATCACAAATAATCCAATTAATTGTTTCAGCCCTACACCCTTTATTACCTAACGTATACATGGACTCACCAAACCCTCTTCCAACAGAAAACACTTTTTCAACTTGTGCACTTTCATTTAGACCACACGTTCTAGGATTTTCCTAACAGCCAGAGATAGCTGTGTAAAGTTATCCAAGAAGATATGCTGAAAACATCCAAAGTCAAAGGAGGAGGGAAGCTCTTACCTCGTAAATGTTTGGGTGCCACATCTTAGTGAGGAAGCGAAACGTAGGAGGAGAGTATGGATAGTCAATGGGGAACTTGATGTGAGCCTAAAAGAATAAAAGAAGAGGATTAATGCAGTTTATGTCCTTTTAAGCCTGTTTGAGGATCTCAGCTTTACACAGAAAAATGACAGGGGACTTGCCATTGAGTACTTATGATCTTTACTTCACTGTCAATTTGTAAACAAATAAAAACAAAGAATGCCCGTTCGTCAACTCAACAATTTACGCACTACCTGATGTTATTGGATCACAGTTACTGTGGCAATATTGTGGTAAAATGTCAAAGACTTCAAGCGGTTTTTAGCAGTTTTGGTATTCACAGTCAATATTTTCTCAGGTTATCAATTTCAAGTTAATTAAGCCCTCTAAGCCTGGGTGTGCACGCAAAAGTCTGAAATTAGCAGCAAGGCAGTCAGATAACACTATCATCAGCCTACAGTTCATCACTGAACTACACCCCTAAATCCATTTTGTAGTAGAAAAATAAAAAAGTGTTAACAGAAGAGCAGGAGTCATCCAGAGCGTGGCATATCCTTATAACAGACAAATATAATTGCCAATTCAAAAAAGAAGACGTTTTAAGTTTATATTAGAGTTTTGTACTTTGACAAACATTTAGAGACAATATTTGAGAGGCATAGCAAGAGCCTGGTATAATCTTCACCATATTTTCATAACACAATCAAAGCGATCTATGTATAAACAAATAATTTGTATGCTAGTATGTCAGTTGAATTAAGTTTTTTTTAATTAAAAACAAAATGCTGTATTTTATGTAGAACTATGCAGCTGATGTCAGTGTCTGGTAACCTTGGTCTCCATGGAGGCGCACTGCTTCAACACATTAGCTCAACAGCCTGTTAACACCTTCTGTAGAAACGTGCTGGCCGTGTTTCAATTTAAAAGAGGGTGAACAGCAGAGATAGGAAATTAGAAACACTGGATTTTGTTCTTTATCCTCATAACAGAATTACACTTCAGTGCTGCATCAGCGGACACAAAGGCCAAACTGCGTAACTTTTGACCCAAATAGTAGCTCTAATGGAGATATATTAATATAATATTTATATATTCGACACAAAAATTTGCCCATTTGACATGAAACGGTCGGATCTGTCCATAAATGAGTCATGTGACTCAGAGTGCAGCTTTCTGGCAAGCGTAGTTCCCCTTAAACATTAGAGATAACTTAGCTAAAAGCTGTCATTAGGCAACAAAACAGAAATGAAGCTCATCTGATCAAAGGAATTTTTGGTTCTCTGATGTAAGATTTAATATAAATTGGTAAATGTGCCCTTGTCTTTACCGGCAAGACGCCTCAGTATGCCGTTTCAAAGTGGTCTGTTTTCAAGTTGGAAAAAGAAACGTTAAATTTTGAGCCAGTCTAGTGCTGTTAGTTGCCTTATGGGCTGCTAAAACCTAAAAAATAATGGTCTAGCGCCCCTAGTGGCTAAACGATACAAAATGGTGCTTTATGAAAGTTAAAGTAAAACCCCTGAAATATTCCAAGATCCTATAATTGAGATGCCAGACAAAGTGTCTAAGAGACTGTCGTTTTTTCTGACTGTATGGCGCATATAGTAGCACTTATGCTTGCTGCTGCGAACTACAGATCAGCTGGCTGAAAGCACAACCAAAGAATAAAACGAGCAGCTTCAGGCTCGGCACCAGAGCAGATGGTCCAAATAATTAGCCACCTTTTCAAGGGTGAAGACAAAATTATATTCTGAGGAAGAAGGTCATTAATACAGACAAACAACTGGTGTAAAATTCATGTTTTTTCTTAAATTATTACTTCATTATCTGCAAAAGATTAAATCCTTTACAAAGGATGATATGGGAAAATTTCCAATAGGGCAATTATAAGAAAAAATTTATAATTTAAAAAAACTAGATCATGTAAAAGGAAACCTATTCAGCTTATTCTGTACATCAATGCTAAACGGCAACTAAACCTGTGACCACTGTCTCACACAGGGTCTCTCTTACTGCATTCATCTGATAACAGATGATGAGTGTAATATTTTGCCCTTCCCTCCTACTTTCTCTGTGCCGACGAGGTGCCATTTATAGCGGTCACCATGCTAAATATAGCTTTCTGTATTACAACCACCATGCAGTAATGGGGGGGTGGGTGAGGGTGGAGAGTTAATGACTGTAAAAGAACCAGACTTACAGAAGAGGTCAGAAGAAGTAGAGGTGAAAGATGGTCAATTATACATTTTTGATAAATAACATGGTCTGACTGTTTGCTTTCAAGCAATAGAATCAGAATCATAACAAAATTAACATAGAATCAGTTAAAGGCTATTTATAGTCGGGTTCATGTTTTTTTTTAAAGCTTTAAATTCTCTCTCTGCATGGAGAAAAATTGTTTTTTTGTTTTTTTTTTTATACATATAAAACTCAAAAACAGAGTTTGAGGATATCAAGATGACAGAGGAGAAACAGAAAAGCGAGAAAATGTGCTGTTTGCGATGACTAACCTCGTCACTGCAGCATTTAGCAATAAAATCCGACTTTGTTTCCCCAAAACTAACTTAACATTTTAGAAAGGTAGAGTATCCATCCTTCTGTTTTCATAATTTTAAACATTTTTTTAAGTGATCATGCAATACTTCGAACACATATATTGGTTGGACAGTTTAAAAAACAAAATGCTGGCAATATTGGTTGCTATAAAAACAAATTCATCACTACGATTAAAGTTTTTAGAAATTATGATGTTCCCTTCACACCACAGAGTGCTGTGAGAGGATAAACTCTACTTCAGGTGCCGGTGTTCGTACAGATTAGCATACTCCGTGAGACAAGCATACCCATAGTCAATGTGCATGCGCAAGATGTCAGATATGCGTTTATCCCTTTCATTTTGTACGAAAAATAGACCTTAAACTACCTTGACGGGCATGTATCCCTTTAATCTTGTACAAAAAAAATAATAAATAAGGTGAGATGGCCATATGCTTAAAAAGAAAATACCAAAAAGTAAGAAATTATTTTTTTTTTACATTTCTGAAGGGATACACGCCCATTAAGGTAGTTTAAAGTCTATTTTACATACAAAACTAAAGCGATAAATGGGGACAAATGAAACGGATAAACGGGTGTTGACTATGGGTATGCTGGCTCTGACCAGGTATGCTTATCTGACAGAACACCGGCATCATACATTTTTATCTGACTGGTATGCACAGCCTGCATATGCAGACAAATGCATTAATATAGAATTTTGCATCCCAACAGCTCCTGTAATAAATGGTGTAGTTAGATTATTTGTGCAGGTTTCTCCCACCTTGAAGTAACCCCCTTCATACAAAGTATTGGGTGGCCCAAAGATGGCCACCTCCCAGTTGTAGAGGTCAGACTCCTCTACCAGGGTGATGCGGAAGCCTTCCACCGGCTGCTCCTGCAGGGACTTCAGCTCCATCATTAGGGCTTTCTGGGAACTAGGAGTTGCCTGGTGGGCCATGTTCATTCTACTTATGGGACCAGGGGCCACAGATCAGTGAACCTAGAGAGGGCACAGAAACATCATGAGATGAGCTGTTTCTATTAAATGTTTAAATCAACAGAAAACGTCTTTGTTATCATCTTGTGAAAACTACCATATAAAAACATAGCTGTATAAATAAAAATACAGACATGCTACATAGCCTGCCTAGCTAGGTTTCTTTTTAAGGCCCTTAAAGCTAGAACAGCAAAGTTAAAATAAAAATAAAAGTAGTTTACCTCTGCCTCCTCGAACTATATGTATTGGTTTGTTTCCAGCTGGAACCTGAAAGGTGAACTTATTGGCTGAACATAACAATATCGCTGTGGGTGACCAACAGTAAGAAGAGCTGTGGGTTTTCTCCTCGTGTTTCCTTAAATTCTTTGTGTTGACAGTTGACATGTAAAAGCAAGTCTGAGTGAAAGTCACCGTCTGCTGCGGCTCAAACCCGGGATTCGGCCGCTCCTGCCATCTCTCCGAGCTCCTGGTTCGGTTGGAACAGGCGCTCAGCTGATCCCCTGCTTGTTTATGTTTGTTTATCTGCGCCCCAGCAGTCTCAACTTCTCCACACGTCAGCTAGAAACCCCCACTGAGCAACTTGGACCAAACGGAGCGGCGCGTCTGGCTGTCCGACGTTCCCTTCAGCAAAATAAAAACACGGAGAAACTCGAGCTTGTGGTAACAGGAAGGACAGAAACTAGATTTCTGACACTGGCGATATACACTGGCTTTAATCGATTTTTATTTTCCTCCCATCGATGCTTCCGGCTATCATTGCGCGTGTCTGCGCTACGTCATACGCGTGGCCTCTGACGTGCGCGCTCCCACTGCAGGGAAAACAAATCTGGTATCTCCAAATGTTATAAAAAAGCTTCACGATACGTTTCTTTTCTTCTCTCTCTTTTTTTTCTTTTTTGTTTCTTTGATAAAAAACTGTGATAATGATAAAAAAAAGATCTCACAGTGGAGAAATGTAGTCGTTACATTAGCTTAATAGTCAAAACAGAAGTTGCTAAAAGGAAGAAAATGTGCATGGGGTATATACAGTATATACAGTGCATCCCCATACATACATATGAAAGCTTAAGTCTCTTATTTAGCAGGATAATTATATAGGGGTAATGCACAGGGTATTTTTATACACACACACACACATATATATATATATATATATATATATATATATATATA